AATAAATAATAAATAAATAAATATAACCCAGTTCAATGTGGAATTTATACAGCTGTGTGGAAGGGGCCTTAGAGACTTCCTGGACACCGCAAAGGCACATACTTGCAAAGTTTTTCATGAAATCAGTATTTGCCCCCCAATGCCTTCTGGGGAATGGGGGGCTTTTCCATTACATTTCAGGGCCACTATGAGCCAATTTAGGCTCAGGTAAAGCCTTTTTTGAAACAAGAAATAACTTCTGATCATTACCTGTTGTTAAACCAAAAATGACCAAGGAAAGCTACAAAACATTGCAGAAATACCCCCTCATTGCCTAGAACATGACTTCTTAAAGTTTTCCATTCAGTACCCCTTTGACCCAAGAAACGTTTATGAGACCCCAGGTATATAGGTATACAAAATAGATATAAATATCTAACATTTACTGATAGCAAATCAAAATTTGCAAAGCTTGCTAATCAGGCAGATTTTCCTTTTTATGAAGTACAGCTGAAGCATCGTCTGCAGAGTCCATTGTAAACACTGCACAACAGATTTCTGTAAATGTCTAAAACAGCCACCAAGTGTTCTCCAGAAATGTTTTTTGGGACCCCAACATTGATCCACCGTCTAAGTAGCAGTGGTCTAAAATGTGTTGGGGGCGATTGTGTGTGGGGAGGGGGTTTTTATAGTGATGAGTACAGTCTTCCAAGTTTTGGATGGGCCTAATATGGCTGTATGGAGAGATTCCCCATCTCCACAGATTTGAAAGCCATCCTTGGATGAAAGCAAATGGTTGCTATCATTTGTCCAATTTAATTTCGATTGTGTGGTTCTCTATACGTGAAATCCATAGATAGAAAACATATAGTAGTCTGCCCAGAAGGTATGGAACTAGGTCAACTTAAACTCTGAAATGTAAATAAATGTTTACATAGGCCCTGCTTTAACCTGAATTCCTTCTCCCTTTGAATAATTTCCTATGCCAAAAGAAGAGAAAGCTCAAGGAACACCGTTTTCCCCCTTTGAGTCCTATTGGCCCCCAGGCTGTGGGCGTAAACATATTTTCCACCCAAAGGCATCCTTAACATTACTCTTAGTGTCCCAGATATGTACTGAGATAGCTTCACTCATAGTGAAAGTTAAGCAGTCTAGGCATTTGAGGTCCATCATTCTGCAATAAAGTCGCCCAGCAGGGATTGCAGGAGAAGAGTAAATTTCCTCTTCTCTGAAAACTACAAGATGAAGTAGTTTAATATGGCTTACATTTGGGACCATAACTGCAACACATAACTGCATTTCAAAAGTGCTGTGGAAAGCTTTGAGTAAACTGCAGCTCTCGAGACATACCTTCAAACCCAATTCCAGTCCCTCCCACTGCCCCCAATTCCCCACCCCTGAAAAAATAAACACCACCCTGATGAGGTGGCAAAAAATACCCATTTTGGAATATTAAAGAACACTTTTATTGGTATAAATCAAACATTGTGTAATAAAGTTTTACCTGTTTGAAAAGAATTCTTCATGCACGGCATGTATTGTTCAGAAGGCAATAAGCTATCATTCAAACAAAAATAGTAGCGATTGTTTCTTTCTGCGATCTGGCAGACTTGTCAACACAGTCTCCCTGCATACAGGCTAAAATGTATTTTATAAGAAAGATGATTTCTACCTCTGCATTATCTTAAATAGGCCTGTCAGTCTGAACCATTCAGTGAAAAACTTGTGCTCACATGAGCCCACCTTGAGAAAGAAGAGTCTTGAGTCTAGATTGGAAGTGTCTATGACAACAGCATGGGCATGGTGTGTCTCTTGAACTGAAGACCAAGGGGAGCCTCCAGTTCAAATTCTTTGCCCATTCTTTCTGTACTTTTGGCAGAGAAAACTAAAGACCTTGTAAACCTACAACTCCCATGATTCGATCGTATTGAGGCATGGCAGTTAAAATAAGGTCAAACAATCCTTTGACAAATGATCTGACAGAGGTTGACAGACAGAAATTTACCCATGGTTTATTATGTTGTCATTGCTCACCAGCCAGATCACAAAGTGGTGATGTAAAGGTGGTGTAAAACAAAGCCTTCTGAGTTTCAGTCAACATGTAAATATCTTATGCAAAACTTCATTATAACAGTATGATTCCACTATTACTCCCAGGCTTGTTTCCTATGGACCCTGAGACTGACCATTTAGGTTTCTCAGCCAGAGAGCTTTTTCTCTGGTGCTTCTGACCAAATTACAAACTCCAGAATCCCACAGGATGCAGCCATAACAGTATATGTGGAATCATAATACTACAGTTGGGTTTAGGAGCACAGGAACCCCATGAAAGTAATAATAAATAAATTGATTTTTTTTAAAACCTGAGAGAACACTTCTCCAGGAACTTCTAGGTCCTTTGGCACATCTCAATGGTCAATGTCCACTTGAAGCTAACCATAGAATCATACTGGAGGACCTAAAGATTCCTAGAGAAGTATTATCTCTAGGTCCTCCAATGTGACTGGAGGTAGTTAACTACAGAGTCACACCAGAAGATCTAGAGCAGTGGTTCTCAACGTGGGGTCCTCAGATGGTTTTGGCCTTCAACTCTAAGAAATCCTAACAGCTGGTAAACTGGCTGGGATTTCTGGGAGCTGTAGGCCAAAACACCTGGGGACCCACAGATTGAGAACCACTGATCTAGAGATTCATAAAAATAACATTATGATGAAATCCATGAAAGACCAAATCTGCAAAAGTCAATTCTGCAAATACAGAAAGTTAATTGTAAAAAGAAACACGAAGACTGCTTTGAGGCATTCTCTCTTGAGCCCCAGTCGGGTGGCTTGTGCCACCTTTATGCTGGGCAAAAAGTAACTTTTCCCTGGGCAGTAGTAGAAACAGTATAGATCTTATCCTATACAACAGGCATTGGCAAACTTTCTAACTTTGGGGCTGCGTGCTAACACTCTCTGCTAGGAGGACTGGCTGCCTGGTGATGGATGGATGGATGGATGGAAGGAGGGAGAGAGGGAGAGAAAAGAGAAGGAAAAATGAAAGGAAGGAAAAGAAGGGTGGAAGGAGAAAAAGGGAGAGAGGGGAAGGAAGGAAAGACAAAACAGAAGGAAAGAAGGATGAAAAGGAAGGAAGAAGGAAAACGAGAAGTAAGAAAGGGAGGAAGGGAAGGATGGAAGGAAGGGAGCGATAAAGGAAAGAGAAGGAAGGAAATACGAAAGGGAACAGAAGAAGGAGAAAGAGGGAGAGAGTGAAGGAAGGATGAAAGGGAAGGATGGAAAGAGAAAGAGAGAAGGAGGGAGGAAAGAGGGAAGGAAGGGTAGACAAAAGGGAAGGAAAGATTAAAGGGAAGGAGGAAGGAAAAAGATAAGGGAGGGAGGGAGGAAGAGAAAGATGGAAGGAAGGAAGGCAAGGATAATGGAAAGAGAAGGAAGGAATGATAAGGGAAGGAAAGAAGGGAGGGAGGAAAGAGAGGAAGGAAGGAAGGATAGGATAGTGAGAGAGAGAGGGGGGGGGGAATTTACCCATACTTTCTATACAGCATACTAACAGGTAGACTTATGGTGTTTGATGGTCTCTTCTCCCTGCATCCAATTCAGCAGCAACTTAAAATCTTTTGTCAGGGGCATCCAAGCACAGGCTCCGAACTGCAGTTGCTCAGGTGGCAGCTGAAAGGAATGGAGAGCAAGGTGCACTAACCCAACAAAAAATAATAATATTATAAAAATGGGCGCAGAGCTAGAGACAGGGGATAAGTCATCCAGAAGGAAGTTCTTCCCCTTAAAGATAATAGTGATAATGGACTTCCCTTCAGAATGTGACCCCCCCCCCCCCCGCTTTCTGTGTTCTATCAATGCAATTTCTAAAAATGGAGAATTTGTGTTCAAGATCTCTTTTGCCTTTAAAATTAGCTATGCTTGAGGAAGCAGAGCAGAAGACGCTTGGCCTATTTAGCCATTTTAAAGATCCGTAATGCCATCTCCCACAGAAACTGTACTGAGATCCACCCACATGAAGTTACAAGCGGAAAGGAAGATATCATTGCCTTGATCTGATAGATTGCAGGATCCTTGTCAGAGAGTAAAAACATCCATTTAAATTGAATTTTTCATGGTATATCTTTAGGGGCTGCAAAATGGTCTCTTTTCCCTATTTGGGCCATTTAAAAACATGTGGATTTTCTGGGCCCTGGGCATACTGAGTTTCCATGAGAGCTGGGAGGAAAGTACAAAACGTATTATTGGCTGCAAAATTAGTTTTCCTGAAATTCTGAGAGTTGCTTGTTAATTTATTTCATTTCATTTCAAGTAAAGTTCAGCCCTTTAATGCTGTAAAGTCTGCTTGGAACTGTATGGGTTATCAGAACGCCAGCTTTCAAGGGGGGACATGATACTCAAACGGTAATAGATGCAAAATTTGGCTTGCTTTTTAAATCCTTTCTTTTTATTTTGCTATGAAAATATGCCCCAATGTGTGAAGTGCCTGTTTGCATTTCAATGCAGGTAAATAAAGTTTCCAATTATTGGAGTGAGGATGTGACTCCGTTAACTAGCAAAAACTGAGCATGTGAATTAATAAACATTGCAAAATAGATTATACAAAAAGGTGAGAAATCCTGAGAATGTACACAATGTGCACAGTTCTCACTTGCCACAGGGTTCAGATAGTGTGTACAATTTTAATTTGATCACAAACCATACAGTGCCCTCACTCCCTACATCATAGTCATTCCTTTTAATACTTGATGGGGATTAGACTCATAAGATACTATAACTCCAGCCGTATGGGGTAAGACAGAATCATAGAATCATGGAGTTGGAAGAAACCTTGTGGGCCATCCAGTCCAACCCCCTGCCAAGAAGCAGGAAAATTATATTCAACGCACCCCGACAGATGGCCATCCAGCCTCTGTTTAAAAGCCTCCAAAGAAGGAGCCTCAACCACACTCTGGGGCAGAGAGTTCCACTGCTGAATGACTCTCAAGTTCTTCCTCATGTTCAGATGGAATCTCCTTTCTTGCAGTTTGAAGCCATTGTTCCGCATCCTAGTCTCCAGGGCAGCAGAAAACAAGCTCCCTCCCTCCTCCGTATGACTTCCTCTCACATATTTATACATGGCTATCATGTCTCCTCTCAACCTTCTCTTCTTCAGGCTAAACATGCCCAGCTCTTTAAGCCGCTCCTCATAGGGCTTGTTCTCCAGACCCTTGCTCATTTTAGCTGCCCTCCTCTGGACACATCCCAGCTTGTCAATATCTCTCTTCAATTGTGGTGCCCAGAATTGGACACAATATTCTAGGTGTGGTCTAAGCAAGGCAGAATAGAGGGGTAGCATGACTTCCCTGGATCTAGACACTAGACTCCTATTGACGCAGGCCAAAATCCCATTGGCTTTTTTTGCCGCTGCATCACATTGTTGGCTCATGTTTAATTTGTTGTCCACGAGGACTCCAAGATCTTTTTCACACATACTGCTCTTGAGCCAGGCATCCCCCATTCTGTATCTTTGCATTTCATTTTTTCTGCCTAAGTGGAGTATCTTGCATTTATCCCTGTTGAACTTCATTTTTTTTAGTTTTGGCCCATCTCTCTTATCTGTCTTGTTCGTACCTAGTGAGTTGAATTTAGAAGATCCCTGGCAGTCCGAATTCTGTGTCATCCACACGCACACCAGTGTCTCAGATTAGAAGAAAGTATGGAGGGAGCGTTGATGCTCTTTTTCAACTAAATGTTAATTGTTAAGCTCTGTTCCAAACAAAATGAAACCTTTCAGAACCTGCTAATTTCCAATTACAAAGTTAAGGTCAAGTGAGAGTGAAAAAAACCCTCCCATTCAAGCATGGTGACATTTTGCTTTACATACAAGCAAGTGTGATTAAAAAATGTATTTCTTAATCTTTAGGTGAGATGTTAAATAAATGGGGTTTGGAGGTGGGCGATTTGCGTGCTCAACATTAACTACTTCCCCACTAAGAAGTTATTCCCACATTGCAAAGAAGCAAAACCTTTTTGTTGTAGAAGTATAAATCCCTGTGAGTTTAACTCGAGTATTTTCTTTGCTTTTTCATACTGTAGTCATGTTGGTTTGCTAAAAAAAGATGAGAAAACACATAGAGATTCACTTGGAATATCATACAGACCAAGAAGAGAAAACCTACACCAATTACAAAAGGAAGCTCTTGCTAATGAGTGACTGAAATGTGCACACACAATATGGCTGCTTTGATTTCCAGGCACACATCTTCTAACCCTACTCCACCCAAGCTTAATAATGTTCCAAAATGTGAGACATATGGTTCATTTAACTTTGGATGGCCAGCCACATGGTATCTCAATGAATCCACAAGCCCTGTCCAACAAAACGGGGGGGAAATTGACCTGCATTCATTTCACTTTTGTTTCTTTCCAAAGAGCAACAGTTTATTCACAGTTTGAAGTTATCTCCAGTTTCATTACAGCTGGTGACTTGGTATCATAGTCCTACTCAGTTCACCAAACTTTGAAGAAAGGCAGATTGTAGTGAAGATCTGTCAATCAATCTATTTGTGCTGGGCAGAAAAATGTAGGCGGCTAAAACCACAAATCTCAGTCTATCCCCAGCATCACTGTAGACAGAACGCAGGCACCATCTGCACCTCCTTACTGTTCAAGAGCAAGCATTATTTCAGGTTATTGTTAATAATCATGTTGTCATGTATATCGCAATAGGTGGTCATTTTCTTCCTCTTCCCAAAAGTTGAGAAGCTATTCTTGGCCTCCTGTTCCAGGAAGAGGGGCCCATCCTTGCTGGAAGGCATGGTTGGGGTCCCTGGGATATATACATTGTGTTGGTAATCCAGAGGTGAAATATGCTGAGAGTACATTGGGGCATATCGAGGGGTCCAGACACTGCTGGGAGCCCCAGGTGTCTTTTGAAGTTCTGTAACAAGAAGGGTAGCATCTAATAACAAAGAGAAAGTCAAGATGAGAATGTAGCACATCAAACATCATGCACCTGGCTAACAAAAAGTCTCATCTCTATGGTAGTTTTTAGCTCGGATATAACAAATCTAGGACAACAAATCTTTAAAGGTTAGAAATCTGATATTTCTGGCACAGAGGGTTAAAGCACTGAGCTGCTGAACTTGCTGAGTGAAAGGTTGGTGGTTCAAATCCGGGGAGTGGGGTGAGCTGCTACTGTTAGCCCCAGCTTCTGCCAGCCTAGCAGTTCAAAAAACATGCAAATGTGAGTAGATCAATAGGTACCGCTTCAGCGGGAAGGTAACAGCACGCCATGCTGAACAACTTCTAAAAGGCACCAAATGGGCAGAGTGGACCCTGGCACACACTAAGTAGACCCTAAAAAACTTCAAAAAGGCACCAAATGGGCACAGTGGCCCCGGTACACACTAAGGAGACCCTAAACAACTTCAAAAAGGCACCAAATGGGCACAGTGGCCCCTGGTACGCACTAAGGAGACTTTAAACAACTTCTAAAAGGCACCAAATGGGCAAAGTGGCCCCTGGCACACACTAAGGAGACCCTAAACAACTTCAAAAAGGCACCAAATGGGCACAGTGGCCCCTGGTACACAATAAGAAGACTTAAACAACGTCTAAAAGGCACCCCTGGCACACACTAAGGAGACCCTAAAAAACTTCTAAAAGGCACCAAATGGGCAAAGTGACCACTGGCACACACTAAAGAGGGCCTGAACAGTCATGCCGGCCACATGACCTTGGAGGTGTCTATGGACAACGCCAGCTCTTCAGCTTAGAAATGGAGATGAACACCACCCCTCAGAGTCGGACTTGACTAGACTTAATGTCAAGGGGAAACCTTTACCTTTTTTACATTTATATTCCACCTTTCCTCCAAGGAGCTCAGATTGGCATACACCCTCCGCCCGCTTTTTTCCCCTTTTATTTTTCAAATGTTCACAACAAACCTGTAAGGGAATTTAGGGCAAATGGCTGACTCATGGTCACTTTGTGAACTGCTTTCCAGAATAAGAATTTTAAGCTAAATGTCTTTACTCATAATCCAGTGTTTAACCTAGATGTCTTAACTCGTAACCCACATATGGAACTATTTCTCCAAGCAGCCCCTCTGCTATATATATAAATATGGTAGGATTGGAGGACTGGAGCATTGGGTTGAAGCATTGAAAGCAATTGTGCAGCTCCAAATACAAAACTCACCAGAGACTGGAGTAACCAAGTTCCGCAACCGGTCGTGGTCTTTCTGGACTCCTCGACGAACTCCTCCTACATCCTCTAGGCTCTGCGAACTATGCAGGGTGGGAAGGAGCAAAAAATACAAAAACAGAGGACTCTTAGAGTACAGTTTCCTAAAATATTCAGCAACAACAATTCTAAAATTAAATTATTCAAGATGGCCACCGGTACCTCTTCAGTGTTGCTTGCTTAGATGGCAACCAGTCCGTGTTGGGCTGTTTCACCTGCAAATTACAGAAAAGAGAGCATTGACTATAATATCCCTCTTCATGGCATTTTACTTTTTTAACAAAAAAAATCCAAGACACTGAGTTTTCAATATACTTTTTTGCAATTGTAGTAAGAAATAATTGTGCTGTGCATCACAAGCATAAAAAAGACCCAATGCTCTTATTATTAGGAGCTCCTGACATCTCCCATATGTTCCCAGAAAACAGATGAATTACTGTACTTTCAGCACCTTCATAGGATAAATATTTACCACTGGTTACCACTTACCCTCAGCCCCATGATTCCCTTAAAAATAACATTCTGGATGTCAGAGATGATGGTGTGGATGACAGTACAGAAAGTGTATGGATAATGACACGTGCCAAATATTGCAGTGCAGTGTTAGCACTAGAGGTGGTACTGGCTGTAATTATCAGGATGACAGGATTTTTATTTTTTATTTTTTTGGATTAGCAGGATTCAAGGTGGGAGAATTTGTATGGCATGTGGGAAAGGGAAACGAGTGGAAGGAAAATGAGAGATGGAGGAGGGTTGCTGGCAAAAAAGGAGGAGTCATTATTAGAAAAGAGCAGACGAACATGTTATGTAGTTTGGATCGAAACAGAATATGAGATTGGATGAGTAGAGTACTATGTATCATCATCATCATCAGATGATGATGATGATGATGATGATGATAATAAAACTTTATTTATACCCCACCTATGGCTGGGCCAGATGTAATAGTTAAAACTTTAAAAGTAAATGCTGGATATGAACAAAGGATGTATCTAGTAGGAGGGTTTTAAACCAAGAGTAGAGAGAAACCCAACGGGTAATTAAAGTGCTTTTCAGGATATTTTGCAGGGGATTGTTTCCTTTATTCAGGAAAGGCACACTGGAACAGCCACGTTTTCAGGCTCCTCCTAATGACTGCCAATGTGGGGGCTTGTCTGATATCCTTGGGGAGTGAGTTCCAGAGTCGGGGGCCACCATAGAGAAGGCCCTCTCCTTCGTCCCCACCAATCGCGCCTGTGAGGGAGGTGGGAGTGAGAGCAGGGCCTCCCCAGATGATCGGAGAGATTGTGTGGGTTCGTACACAGAAATGCGGTCATGCAGGTAGCGGGTCCCAAACTGTTCAGGGCTTTGTAGGTAAGAACCTGCACCTTGAATTGGGACCGGAAAATAAACGGCAGCCAATGGAGCTCCTTAAACAGGGGGGTGATAGAAAAAGATTGGGAGCACAAGGTATGATGAAAAGATTTGGGGTGGAAGCCTAACCTGATCCAAAAAACTGTAAGTCAAGAAAGGTTTTGGACAAGCACACTGGGAAAGGAATGGCTCATGTGCATGACTAACTATATATATTTTAACCTACCCTTCTTCACACTCTTGGTTATGCCATGAAGAAGCAACTGGGCCAAGTTTAATGACTGAGTAAAGGCTGTCTTTCCAGTCTTTTTCTAATATTTAACCAACAAATTATTGTTTTTTTATTCCATTGGCATATGGGGGGAAAGACTTGGTGGCACAAGGTGCTTAAATTAATAAATGGCTTGCATGGAAGTGGTACCAGTGACAGGAATAACAACTAACTCCCCCAACGCAGCAAAGCACAAGATGAATAAATTAACCCAATGTTTTGTATATTAGCTCCTAGTAGCATTAGTGGTAAAGCAAAAGAAGTCAAAAAATACTTTGTGTCTGGTGAAAGAGATACTTTGCTATCCCCACATAATTCATCCTGAATTGAGTCTAAGAGGCATAGCAACCTAGTGCTTTCACTCCATGGAGAAGGATCAGTCTTTCTGCTCTGGCATTATTGTTTCACTCCTTCTCCATGGAGTGATCCTTCATTTCATGAAGAAGGATCTGTCGTTTTGCTCTGGTCTTACTGCTTCTCCCTGTGACCACAGGATTTTGTTGTTCACCCATGCTTTTTACCACTGGAGGAAATTATCCAGATGTTTAGACTGAAGTGACATCAATGTGCAGATTACACTGAATTCCACATTTTATTTCAATTTACTGATCCTGTAGACATTTTGGAACATTTGAAACTGTCTCTGGAGATATTTTGGAGCCAGAAAAGATGAATGCACTGAGGCTGGATGGCCATCTGTCAGGGGTGCTTTGAATGCAATATTCCTGCTTCTTGGCAGGGGGTTGGACTGGATGGCCCATGAGGTCTCTTCCAAATCTATGATTCTATGATTCTATGAAATTTAGTGTGGTTAAGACTGACACTGTCGACAAGAAACCTGGTCAATCTGGATAGACACAACTGGTCTTAGATAGGGTTTCACTCTCCATGGAAGGCCATCCATTTCTCCTGGATGCTGAACTCACCAGGGAAGCTCAAATATCTGCAAAGGGCAGATGCTCTTTTTTTGCTATCTTATGCTGTGGCCTTTTCTAAAGCATAGGGAGCTTGCTTTGACGCTGCTCTTCAATCAACTAGGCTGAATTACCATAATATGATCTACCTGAAAAGCAGGGGTTCAATGAAATGCCCTCCAGATATATGTAGTCTAACTTCTGGAGAAACACCCAATTCTCAGCACTGCTTCAACGGCAGTTGGAAAACAGAGTCAATTGAGTACTTGTGAATGCTAGCCGTTCTGATTGGGTGACATTTGTAGAATCATAGAATAATAGAATTGGAAGACACCATATGGGTCATCTAGTCCAACCCCCCTGCCATGCAGGAAAAGCACAATCAAATTACCCCTGTCAGATGGCCATCCAGCCTTTGTTTAAAAGTCTTTAAGGAAGGAGCTTCCACCACACTCTGAGGCAAAGAGTTCCACTGCTTAACAGCTGTTACATTCAGGAAGTTCTTCCTAATGTTCAGGTGGAATATCTTTTCCTGTAATTTGAACCCATTGCTCAACCAAATTAGCCCTGACAGATGGTTATCCAGACTTCCAAGGAAGGAGCTTCCACCATACAGGCAGGGAGTTCCACCGCTGAACAGCTCTTACAGTCAAGAAGTTCTTCCTAATGTTCAGGTGGAATCTTGTTTCCTGTAATTTGAAGCCATTCCTCCATTGAATTCGAGCCTCCAGGGCAGCAGAAAATAACTCTGCTCCCTCTTCCTTATGACATCCTTTTACATATTTATGCATGGCTATCATAGAATCATAGAATCATTGAGTTGGAAGAGACCTCATGGGCCATCCAGTACAACCCCCTGACAAGAAGCAGGAAAATTGCATTCAAAGCACCCCCGACAGATGGCCATCCAGCCTCTGTTTATAAGCTTCCAAAGAAGGAGCCTCCACCACTCTCTGGGGCAGAGAGTTCCACTGCTGAACCGCTCTCAAAGTCAGGAAGTTCTTCCTCATGTTCAGATGGAATCTCCTCTCTTGTAGTTTGAAACCATGGTTCCACGTCCTAGTCTCCTCTCAACCTTCCCTTACAGCCAGAGGTGGCCCTAGGTAATTTTCAATAGTAAGCAAACAGTATTTTGGTGCCCCGCCCCCCAACCAATCATTGATATATATTTTCTGTTCGCCATGGGAGTTCTGTGTGCCATATTTGGTTCAATTCCATCATTGGTGGAGTTCAGAATGCTCTTTGATTTTAGGTGAACGATACATCCCAGTAACTGCAACTCGCATATGTCAAGGTCTATTTTCCCCCAAGAGCGCCTCAAGAGCGCCCCTGGGCAAAATCAACTATACTGCGAATGCTTACTTTGCGTAATGGGTTGAGCCGCCCCTGCTTACAGCAGTAACACAGGTTGTCTTGGTTTTTCCATTTTTCTGGACTCTGCCACCAAATTTGCATGACGCTGCTATAATTCAGCAACACAAATGGCAGCAGGAAAAAGAAGTCACTATTGTATTTTAAAACAAGATGTACAAGAAAGTGGTGAAGTGAAATTGCAGCTTTGTCACTGATATTGTGGGGTGATGTGGACAGAAGGATTTGGCCCCTTGTGCCTTTGGAGGGGATAAGGTACCCCAACCATCCTTGGACAATTGTAAATGCCAGAATTATACTGGCCTGTATGCACTCTGAGGTCAACACCAGAGATTGTATTTACACACCGCAACTAGACTAGCAGCCATGAGGACCCTCCTGGGGAATCCTTTTCCAGTTAACATCCACTGGGATATTAAGGTCTTCAGGTCCCCCACAGACAGCATGAAGAGATTTTGCCCTGATTCATAGTTTGAATAAAAAAAAATACACAATGGGCCTGACCTTGGTAAGTCTGCATTTGCAAGCAGTATTAAATCATAAACAGAAACTTATACCCAGTGGCCTGATTTAGACATATAAGTACGTTCTCTGATAGTAACTCCGCACTCGGCCACTGTGCACTTGAGGACGACCAACCAGTGATGAATATTCTGAAACGACTCCCATTATTAGGTGATACTGCAGTCATCAATACATGGGTGTCTATCGGCCCATGTCCGAATACAATTATGTGGAAATCCCTAAGAGGGACTCATCAATCTCTGGCGTGCACATCCTCCCTTAAATGGAATGCGGTTGCCTGGTTAATGAGCCTTGGCAATGACAATGACTTTTGTGGAAGTTCAAGAGAGGGTTGGTCTGTCTCCCCTTCTTTCTGGGGGAAGGAGGCCGCACTCTGGACAACCCCATAAGTTTGGCCTGTGTGTGGCTCTGTCCCTGGCCCAAGCCTCCCTATGTCTTTTCTGAGGGAGCTCCCTGCCCACCAGGCTTGCTTTTCATTGGCATTTTCTCGGACGCTCTCCCACTCGGCGCTTTTTTTCTTCTTCTTCTTTCAAATCTCAGTGTCAGGACTCGCTGGGTTGTGAAATGGAAGCGCCATTCGCTTCGGCTTACTTTGAAAATCCCCAATTATTGCTCTATTGTTATGCGCTTTGACTTTAATAGGCCCGCCTGGTTAGCATGGGGGTCACGTACTGGAACAACAAGGGGAGAAAAGAAATGAAAAGCCCATGTCCCCTGCCCTGTCCTCCCTTCCCTTTCCTGTCCTTCAACTGAGGTGACAAGAAGGGAGGCTTGACTAGGA